CATCAGATATTGTCCAAGATTAACCTTCAGGGTGGATATAGCTCGCTAGCAGCTTCGAACTGATGACCTATCCACGTCATCATTTACCCAGAATGCTTTGCGTGTAAATAAAATGGCCCCGTTCATGTAATATATTTTTAAACTTTTAGTTTAAAAATGATAAAAACTGAAAATCCTACAGTATTTTTACAGTCTTTATTTTACAGTTAAAATATATGTTTATTACATAAAGTCTAATGTTACAACTAATCATGGATCCCTTTAGAATTCATGTTCCCACAACAACAGAGGTGGTTTTAGAAAGTTGTCCAATGGATGACCCGATGGGGYCACTGTGAATGTTGGGATGTTGTATCAAAACCAAAGCAGCGACAGAAATTCAGGAGTTTTATCTTTTATTTAAGGTGTTTTTTTCATGCTATGTTATGGATTCACCTTCTTTGGTTTCTCATTTTTGATGACGACCCCCGTTGGTTGCCACAGGGTCTTGGCTCTTCAGATGTTAGGAGCACGGTGGGTTGCGGTGGCAGAGTTTCAGGGTACTGGGTGGAGCATGGTGTGGTGGGGGTGGGCTCAGACACTCTGTTGGGGTTCTGTTGTCGACACAGTTGGACCTCAGACTACGACCTGGATGAGAAACAAGCGGCACAAGCGTGAAAATTGTGGCATCATGGCAGGATTTTCTGCATCCTGACACGGTCCAGTAGAGTCATGCCAGGGATCGACCTGGGGCATGGTGGGCGTATGGGACAGTGTGGCCATAGATGACGTGTGTGTGAGCGCACAGGGGGGCACAGGGGAGAGTTATTTAGGGAAAACAGAGTGAAACACAAGTAGAATATAACAGAAGGATGAAACCCAAAGCTAGAGTAGACGTTTCTTTTTTGTTTCATCTCTGATCATATTAGGCTACTGCTCCTTTCTGTGCACGATAACAACCGGTTTTAGTTAATATTCATTCCGACATTCACAAGTTATTAGAGGAGGATGCTGCACATCATGATCGTGTGTCAGGGCGCCTGTCAGCTCTCTGTTAGGAATCTGAACAGAAACAGTTCATTTTAGGTGACAGCAGTCAGCTTTATGAGTCATAATTATGCAAGCTGAGACATCCCGAGGCAGATCAACACAGACGTGTGTGTGTGCGTGTGTGTGTCTGTGTGTATGTTTGAAAACGCGATAATATAATCTTTGTGAATGAGAGTGAAATCACTCCCATCTCCTTCGCCCTACTTCCTCCCCTCCTCTTCCTCTGTTTCTATCTCCCATTGATGTGGAGCCGAATTAAAACGTGCCGCTCATACGATCGTATGTGTGGCCTTGTTTTTGCTACTTGGTGGGGATGATTTTTCAGGAAAATGCAGCCTCGTGGGGTCTGAAGCCGGTTAGGTTAAGGAATAAGGAGTGAATTGAGTTTAGGTTAGTTTTAGGGTCAGGTAGGTACCTGTGAGGTTAATATTAGGGTAAATGGTCAGGGTTAGGATATAAAATTACTATAAAATGAATATAGGTCAATGGAAAGTCCCCACAAGGATAGAGAGACATAGCAGGTGTGTGTGTGTGTGTGTGTGTGTGTGTGTGTGTGTGTGTTGCCACTCATGCTGTCCTCAGGCTGTAGAAAATGAGTTTTTGTGAGCGAAACAGAAAATTAAGAAAAAGTCGGAGATTTTTAACCTGTCTGTCGCACACCTCATTTAATCCCTTGTTCCCTCTTCATCACTCCTCATCATCACCTTGCACTCCTGTGGATTCAGGGTGTTGATGGGATGAAGACATCGGGAATCAAGACTGGCTTATACCATGGAAACTACCAGAGAGCATAAACAAGGATTAGTTCATGAGATGTGGAATTATTWTTTTTTTTTGTCAGGATCTGTGTTTTCTTTTATTATTATTTTTGTCAGTTCTTTTGTGTCATCATCAACTCTCCTCAGTGACTTCCTGTTTCCTCAGCCAGTCCTGCCACGCCCAGTCCCACCTGTTTGATTTAGCACAGCTGCAGCCACTCTTCTCATCAGCTCTATAGTTTATGACCAGATTCTCCTCACACACCATGGCACACCTCCTCCCTGTGACTCCGCCTGTATTTTGTAGGTAAAATTTTCTGCCATGTCAGCGTTTTTGTTTCATTGACCTTTGTGTCAGTCTGCATTTCTGGGTCCGAACCTCCTATCGATCGTGACACTTTTACCAAATAGAAAAAAATAAAGACACAATAATGACAGCTGAAGTTGTGGAAGTTTCCCATAATAAAAAAGTTTTTCATTGTTTTTGCACAAAACATGTTTGCTGACTCAACTCAACTTAGCCACAAAAAAACAGATGTGTTTGATTTACTTAAACAAGTTATGTCAACAATTTTAAGTAAATCCAACAATCTGTTTTTTGAGTTCAGACTAGTGGCTTTGTCTAAGGCAGGGTTCACAAACTTTGGAGCTTCTGACCTTTTGAGCTAATAGATAAAGAGTAGACTAACAGTAGCGGCGCCTGACCATTCGGGGAGCTAATATTCATTTCCTGAATCAACATCAACACAAATGTTACAATTTGTGACACAATATTGCACAAAGTTGACTTTTTTCTCCCTCCCTGCTGGTTGTGTCTCGTGRAAACAGTCCGGTCTAATGTTAAATCAGAAAAACACCACCTGCCCCTGCACCAACCTGAAAGTGTTTTTTTTTTAAATTGTGAATAAAATTAATCTGACAGGTACACAACTTTCTGGATTATATTTCTAATTTAATTTTGAGTTGTATTTTTTGCAATATACTGCAGATTAACAAGGAAAATGTTGGGAAGACATCATGTGAACTAATCTTGACTAAATCACTAAAATCTGTTTAAAATTACATTTGAAATTGTGAAAATAGTTGCAAAAACACAGAATGAAACAAAACATGGCAAGGTGTCCTGATGTGTCTCAATAATCCAGGTAGAAAAAAAAAGTTAAATCAGGTCCTCTGAACACAAGGCATGCTAAGTAAATAAGCAATTAATTAGCAGCTTTCCCTCCAAGTCTCACCTGTTCCTCGTTGTCTCTTCACCAGGTGTTTGTCCTTGTCTCTAATTAGTCACTCTTTATTTTCTCTCTCTCTCCTGTCAGCGCCTTGTCTCTCAGTTGGTCATGTTTGTTTCCCCGTGTCCTCTGAGGTTTGAGTATCTGTCCGCCTGTTTGTTTTTTTCATTCTTTTTTTTGTTTGTTTATTAAACCGGTTTAAGTCTCTCTGTCAGTCTGCACTTTGGCTCCGCCTTTAAATTCTCCAAACATGATATTTAAAGTTAACAAGATGCACTTAAATGCAATACTGCAATAAAAATTGCTTTAAAAAATGCAATATTGCAAATAAAAATTGTTGTTTCTTAGTTATGTTGTTTGCAGTATTTAAAAATTGAGTAATTTTTTTTTAATGATGGTCGAAGTTCAGTTGAAATTCTCTCATCCTGTAAAGTTTGACTCTCACAGACGCTGTGGGTCAAACACAAGGCCGAGCTTCCTGCTGCGGGCTAAAAGCCACGCTGCTACAGCCTGCAACACACACACACACACACATACACACACACTTGTGTTTACTCAGACTTGTGTAGTTTAATATTAGAATACAGTTTGCTGCTGAGTCTGACCTGCAGAGAGAGGGATGGATGGCGGGGAGGGGGATGGGCGTCATGCACCTTCCTCTTGTTTCATTGCTCTCCTCTTTTCTTTCTTCACCCTTTTATTCTCCTCTTCTCCTCCAGTCACCTCCTCCTCACTCCTTCCCTTGCCCGTCTCGCTGTTTCTCTGCATGCGGYTCATTTCCATCTCACCTAGGCGTTAACCTCGCGACTAATCTGTCCATCTGTCTTTCCTCTCTGTGCCCAAACTGCACTTTTTGTTTGGACCCAAGAATCCTTTCTTGTTAGATGTTGGAGTTTTACACATTGATAATTCGGTCAGTTTTACAGATATTATGCAGCAATTTGGTGAGGTAGTAGCTGAGAGTCATCCACAACGTATAAATGTCATTACCACAATTTGACCAAAATAGCTTTAACTGTAATTATAACAAAGTTGGTTTTAGTCTTAAATTATGTCATGAAAGGTGGCGGGTGATATGYATTATTTTAAAGAAACACATCAAGGACATTAAACAAATGAAATGATTTTATTTCAAATGATAAAACAGAAAAGAAAGATCCTCTGAACTGCGATGTCCGAAGCGATCCGTCAGTCATTTATCGTCCTGCAGAAAAGTAAATGAAAACTACAGCTGGAACCAGAGCAGCACAGATGCTGAGCTGAATATTCACAGAAAGACGACCGGTGGAAGGAACTGTTTTTCTGGGGCTGTCAGAGTAAATATCAGAGGGATTTGTTGGTGAACTGGGTTTATGTTGGACCTACTGCAGGGATTAGTGTTTACGGCCTCATCTCTGCCTTCTGTACATGATTTATAATCTATATGCATCTGGATGGATGAGGAACAAAATATTAAAGACACAGACATCAGTGCTTTAGGAAGTTGTTACTTTTTATAGATAATATTGTTGTCTAATGCWGAAAGGTAAAGGCAGATTAGTGTGCGGTTGTGTGTCTGTTAGCAAAATATATCATGCACCACTGGACAGATTCTAATGAAACTTAAAGAGAATTAGCATTTTCTACAAAAAAAACAAAGCATGAATGCTTATTGTTGAAAGATTTTTTTTTTTGCAGAAATGAAGAGAAAAGCTGTACAAAAATGTAGCAATTTGTTGTAAAATAGCACCCCCCCCAAAAAAGCTAAAATAGTCGAAAAGTAGCTGAATAAAAGTGAATTTAGAACAAAGCAGAAAGAGCACGTTTGTGGAATTACTGTATTTATTCATGTATAGTATTTGAAATTTAACCCTTAAAATCACCCATAAAGTGAGGGGTAGTATTATACAG